TATCCAGACCTTGAATTGACTAATCTTTCGCACACGATAATATACTCTAACCCTTCATGATCAAAATCTAGGACTTATTTCTCTAAATCTTATACCCCAATATCAATTTAATTAGAGACAACAATCAACGGTTATGATCCGTCCAAATATAAGAACAAAACGAATGCACCATCTTAGGATTTATAGTTTATAATTAAAAATAGATAATTAGGACCTAGGGTTTATTCATTATGGGCTAGGGTATAGTATCACGCCCTAAAATCCTGCTAATTCGAGATCTAGTTAGCATTTTCATACTCAATGTATGCGGTAGCCGGATTCACTCGGGGTACCGTAGAAGTCACCTAACCTTATATATTATATATCTAATACTATATTTTACACAAATCATTATAAGCATTGGTAAAATTCATTTTATATACTTTTTTTACGCATATAATTATTTACTATTAGTTTCCAATTCTTAGCTATAAATCATTTTGTGGGAAATAATTGTTCTAAATTATTTTTCATGACTAACTTTTCTAATGTATTTTATTAAAATCGGCATAACCGGCATGACACTGGTTGTTCCATTGTCGGACCATTCCACTTGCAAAACCGATGCATCAGTATAAACCGGTTTGACAACCTTGATTTTGTAGATGAACACTACGCACCTGGGGCTCTTTAGCTATGGCCCTAGCGCTGCGAGAAAGAAGGAGATAAGACGAGAACAATCATGACCGCGAGAGCGGAAGGGAAGCCTCGACCGAGAGACGGAACGGGAGAGTCATATACCCTTCACCTTTAGAATGTTATATGGATTAATGGATAGATATGAATGACAAATGCGATTCATTCTTTTGAAAAAGATAACAACAACATAGGAGAGAGGAAGTGGGGAGCCACCTAGTGGCTACCAACTGGTGCTTACCTAGAATAGAAGTCGCCGAGTCCAACTCGTTGAGGTCAAGCTTCTACCGCCGGCCGCCGGCTGGAGTCTGCTGGAGCCTGGACAGGACTGCTGGTCGCCACTACTAGAGGACGTAAAGAGGAGCTGAGGAGGCGAGCGTCGACTGCTGCTTACAACAGTTGCGGGCTTACTGGTCGTCGCTGTCCAAGAGGACGAAAGGAGGTGCTGAGGTGGCGAGGTCCGACGAGAAGCTATCGCTTACGAGAAAAGGAGGACGAAGGTGGAATCGTCGTTGGCTGCTTCTATCTTGATTAATTATCGGGATTTTCCCCATAGTTATCCCCGTAGGAGAGCGGCAAAGATACAACAATATACAATTTGGCTACTATCCTCATAGCTAAATTCGTGAGGACATCCTCATACGGCCAGGATGTGGCCACATCACACAAGCCGGGAATGGAGAATTGTTGAGAGCCGAGTTTGGGTTAGAAGAGGAGCAACCGAAAGTAAGCCCGCCTCAGCAACTTCAGTTGAGGGGGGAAGTGGTTTTGGCAGGCAAACGAAAATTGCTCTCTCTCCACTCTCATTTAATGAAACTACCTACAAAAAACCAGCAACTGTCATTTCTTTCTTTGGGGCATTTTCCTTGCCCTTTTTTCCCCTCTTATGTCTGTCATTAAAGAGAAGAAGGAGAACGAAGAACAATATATCTTCAGATCTGGTTTGGGCTTCGCCGACAAAGACACTCCTCAACTCAGAGTGAAGGGTAAGTGTTTGGAAGATGGATGATAACATGATCAAAGCTTATGAGGTCGATCTTGGAACCCGGAATGCTAATGTCATCGATCTTCGAACTCATAACCCAGAGACGGATGACATCAATCTTGCTAATACTAACCTCAAAGTTTATGGTGAAGATATATACTTTAGGTTTGTGGGGCTCGCAAGAGTGGATGGATGCTTTTGCAACAGTGGAATGGAGTATATGAAGACAAGAACTCAACCTTGTTTGTTCACTTTACTTATATATAGTGTGGTGTGTTAGTTGTTGTCGAGCATTGATAAATGTGGTTGTTTAGTTAAATGTTGTAGGGTTAAGATTAGAGTTGATGGTTGGCATTTATTGTGCATGTTGTCTTTTTTGTACGTGCATGAAGAAATGTTCGTGAATAGAAGAATTTTTTCATGTGGATGAATATATGTTGGGTCGTGGGTGAATATATAAGTTGGTTTGTGGATGAATATATGTTGGTTTGTGGGTGAATAGTCGTTGGTGAATACAAGTGGGTGTGTTGATGAATATTGATATGTTTTATGATGAATATATGTTCTTTAGTGGGGGAATATTATTTGAGTTGTTCACGAATATATGTTGGTTCGTGGGTGAATATCAATTGTTTTGTGATTGAATATATGTTGGTTGTGGCGAATATTAGTTAGTTTGTGGGTAAATATTAGTTGGTTCGTGAGTGAACATATGTTGGTTGTGGGTGAATATTAGTTGGTTAGTGAGTGAGTATATGTTGGTCTCTGATGAAGATATGTTGGTTGTGGATGAAAATAAGTTGGTTTGTGGGTGATACAACAAGTTGGTTTGTGGATGAATTGTTGTTCAGTTTCTAAATGTGAAGATAAGGATGCAAGGGGAACATTGCAGTTTAAGACGATGGAAGAGAGCTATTCATCCTATTGAAGCTATGCTCATGAATGAGGTTTTAGTGTGCGCATACAATGTGAACATACCAGGTAGAAGAACTTTAAGGGTGAGCTAGAGAAAAAGTATTGTTACGTTTACTAAATGCAGTAAAGTATGGTTTATTCCACCAAAACTAATGGTAAAACAACGGAGACGAAGAAACGTCAATGCTCGGAGGATAGTGTTGTTGTAAAAAAGCAGTCGAAAAGGAAAGACATGAATTAAGAGTGGGTTGCCAAGCTTGTGCTGACTTTTAGTGGGATGGAGATAATGATTCATTTGTGGTCACTAAATTTCAAGCATTGCACAATCATGATTTGCACTCTAACAACCACTCGCACTTTCTACGGTCTAACAAGTTCGTGAGTGAGGCACAAAGCCTAATGGTAGAAGCAAACGTGCATGAGAGGTGATTTTGAGTTCTTCTCATAAGCTCATGACAATGTGTGTTGGTGGGTACGAAAATCTTACCTTCTCTAGGACAGATCAGAAGAATCACCTTAACACGTTCGTGAGTGAGGCGCAAGGACTAGTGGTTGAAGCAAACCTGGACGCAGGGGTGAGTTTGAGTTCTTCTCATAAGCTCTTAGCAATGTGTGTTGGTGGATACAAGAATTTACCTTCTCTAGTACTGATAAGAAAAATCACCTTAACAAGAGAAGCCAAAAGAATATGGCACATAGTGAGTCTTTCGGATTACTTCCAGGATCAACTGACTAAGTATCCTAAATTTTATTATTCATTGAAGATAAATTGTGATGAACAAGTACTCAAAAATTTTTGGACAAATACTACGATGCAAGCTGATTAGGCACTATTTGGTGGCTCGATCTCATTCGACACAACATAGTGAACCAACAAGAAATATCGTTCATTGGGTATGTGATTAAATATGTTATACTTATAATTAATGCAATTTTTTTCTTCCTATAAAAAATATCGCTCATTGGAAACTTTTCAGTATTAGTTTGGAATATTTTAGTATTACTCTGGACTGTTTGAGTATTAGTCTTGACAGTTCATTCAGAAGCTTATACCTAGTATGAATTGGCTTAAGTCTTTATACTTGTGTTTTGTAAGGATGTTTGTTGGTTTTAATCATCATCGAAAAACTTGCATCTTCTGGGCTTGTTTGTTTTATGACAAGAATAGTGTATCTTTCGAGTGGTTCTTCGACGCTTTTATTCGTTGCATAGATAAGAAACTCACAGCCCCAATCTTCACTTATCAAGATCCAGCAATGGCCAAAACTCTTCGGAAAGAGTGGTCTGGCATCTTCCATACATTATGTACGTGGCACATCCTAATGAATGGGAAGAAGCACATTAGTAAGGATTATAGGTTTTGGGATATGTTACAAGGCCATCTCAGATTCCTATTCAATGACGTTGACAATGAGGCTGAATTTGACATTGCATGAAAAACCATGCTTGATGAATGCTTCCCCGATTGTGACTTAGCGAATGGCGATTCGTGGTTGCAGTACCTACAAAATTTTTGGAAAAATAATGTTTTTCTAATGGCTTAGGAGTCAATTCATTGTAGGTATGTTGACAACTCAGGCCAGCGAATCATGCAATGCATCATTGCGACATTTTTTTGCAACCAAACCACAATTTGGATAAATTCTTTACACACTTTAACATATATGAATACACATTAATGTTTGTAGAATACAAGTTCGAATATGAGCCAACTACAACTGTCATTGTCTATAATAGTGATATTACTCATGTATATTTGTGATTACAGCTTGCTAGCTGACAAAAGATACAAGGAGAAGATTTTTTACTATGGAGCCATTAAGATTGTACCCAATATCTCCTTGCCATACAACAAGATCTTGAACCAAGCTGCCAAGGTTTTCACTCCTTGCATGTTTGCAAGGTTTGCAAGGTTACAACAACGGTATGAACAAATGGAAGATTATGAACTTGAACCACGCTCGAATGCAAGAGACGATGTTTTGATTGGGTACAACACATTCTATATGGAAAATGGTGTGTGTTGGGACGAAGGTGTTGTTCTTGTTGATGTTGGGAGGACAAAGCTAGAGTGTGGGTTAGGTTGTTCAACCTGGTTTTGACCCGAAAATAATGAACCCGATCTGCCACATCACTCAACCCGCCATGTCATCTTGTCGAACCCAACCCTTGAACCCAACCTGATCCTGAACCGATCCCCCTCACTCCATATCGCCCTTAACCCCGACTCTCTTGTTGAACAACCACCACCAAATTGCAAAGCCTAGAATCAACCGACCAAGGGCTCTGATTATGTGAGCAACAATTACGATGGTCATGCTCTTACCGCTCAATCCTTCGTACTTCCCCAGCGGCCGACTGCACAACTTGCCATCACCTTCTATGTCTGCCTCAGGAAGGGGAGGGTAAGGGAAGGAAGTAGAGTTTAGAGAGTTTTTTGGTAGGTGGATCGGTGGGAGTATGAAGAAGGAGACAATGGTCGTAGTGGTGGTCGTCGCGACGGAGATTTGTGTAAATGGTTCACGTAAAACTTCAGTTTAAAGTCCCTCTTCATTATTCGGCCATCGTACAAATCAAGCGACTTGGATCCGGCAGCTCTGGTTGATATCGCGCTGATGTAGAGCTCCATGTTGAGCCCGACTTTGTAAGAATATATGATTCCTTTCCCCAATCCAACCATTGCTGATGTTGTGGTGATTTTATTCGCCAATTTAGCGAATTGGTCTTTACCTGGAGAACCCAGGTAGTTGACTTTCCCCATGAGGGCAAGTAAAGGGTTTAATTTCTCGACGATGGATTGATCCATGCCAACGAATATCACCAAGGTCCCATTTTTCTAGCCGAGATCGCCACCAGAACAGAGCAACAATCGCCAGTCGTAGGCGCTCCCCTTCACGATCCCGTTTTCTCAGCTGCTTCGCGTCTTGTTTGTCCTAGACCATGGTGACATGACATGCATTCTCTGTGTAATGGATCAGGAACTCAGGATCGTGGAGTCCGGTCGTGGTAGCAAATTTCACTTCCAACGGTGTTATTGTCTATGGATGGTGGGAAAAAGGGGAGCCGTCAGTGGAAGAAGAGGTAGGGACGAACCAAAGAAAATGTTGGGTTATGGATTGGGTTAGGGTCGAGTTGGGTTGGGAAGATGACATGGCGGGTTGAGTGACGTGACGGGTCGGGTTTCACTATTTTCGAGTCAAAATCAAGCTGATTAGGCTATTCCGTTTACCACGTCAGCACTTAACGGACTCCATTAACGGAGTTGGACGAAAATTAACGGAGAGTGATTAAACGTGCACTATTTTACTAATTTGAGTGACCAATTTTGGAATTAAATGCTTCTATTAACTAAACATGAACATTTTTAGAAAATCTAGTGACCAAATTTGCAATTTACCGCTGTAAAAAAAAAAAAATGAGAAAGGTAAATAAAGTACAGAAATTGACCTATAAGATGCTCGCCCTTCATTTCCGAATTTTGTCAGCCGTCTATCCCTCCGCGTTTTCTAAAACCCTAACGCCTAGCTAATATCATCTTCACTTCACTGTAAGCAACTCCCATCTCCAACATCCGATCTCGAAGGAAGCTCAGCCAAGCGTGCTAAGTTTACTGGGATCGACCCGCATTCAGGATGGCAGATACTCAGGTGGATTCACTCGTTGCCATCGCCGGGTCAGTCTCCACTTCATCAACCAAGAAACGGGTCCGAATCTTCCGTGATGAAATCCCTCCGATTCTCGATAGTTCAGGCAAGTGAATCGATTCTTCCCAAGCATGGTGCAGGAACGTTAGATGAGAGGATTGCCGTAGGTGACTAGATCAAGGAACGCGGTCGTCTCTAGTTTCTCTGAACAGTCTTGGCAGGAGAAACTGAACAGAGTTGAACTCAATTGGAACGGACATTTGAATTTGTTGGATAGATAATGTTGCTGGTACCTTTTGGAGGTGATAGTTCGGGTGACATTAAGATTGTGGCCCATGTTTGAATTGTAGAATTTGCTTGTGCATGGCAATATGCGGTTCCCTGCTCTTCCCTTAACACTGCCACTCTTAACCTAACCTACGCAGCTCTTCATACTTTTGATTTATACCTTTTCTTTGTTACTTTAATTTTGACTGGGCTTCTGCTACTTAATGGGCGGGAATTAGCGTGAGAATATATCTTATGAAATGTATCCTTCGGTTCCAACTATATATAGTGTTGTTTACCATACTACTTTTCTTTTATGCTCTAAAGGTCATCTTTTGGTTTGTTCCTCTGTGACTAGAATTCCATTTGTACCATAGTTAGTCCATATATAAGGAACCATCTAGAAGTTAAATCGGCATGCGGACTTTCCTGGTAGCACTTACCTTAAGCATAACGATCATTGTTTGCATGTCTGGTTGCCGCTTAGCAGAAATGGAAAATCTTTCCTCCTGTTAACTTGGCTTTCAGATGGCTGCTACTTTTTTAGTCATCCTGGGTTCTGATATTTAAACTGAAGCAGGTGGTAGGTTCTAGTATTGTCTACTGTTCCATATGCTAAAGAGGAGCTTGGTTTATGTGGAAGTGAATTTGTGTAGCAGCTCTTCTTTTGTAACTCTTACGGTCACATATTTGTGGCTGGGCTTGTTTACCCTGAAGTGATTTTAAAGTGACTGTCTTACTTATAAGTTTATCTATTGCTGAATTGAACTGATAAGCTTTACGGTGATCAACGGTCTATTTATGCCTCTGCATCTTTCATTTTTAAGGCTATGTTATCAGTGCCAATGAGCTCCTTTTGATTTCAATGTCCACCAATGCGATTAAGGTTGTCAAGACGACTTGAATATTTTGTTTTCTGATCCATTTTTATTTCTATATTTTCTAGCTGATGACTTATGCCATCAAATTTGTGATGTAGCTTTATATCTAGTTTGTTTCAGAGCTGGTTAGTGAATATCTTATTTGCTCTTCCTCAAATCATGGTATGTCATCTTTTGCAGAGATGTCTCCCGAGCTTATATCCTTGTTGGTGGACGTAATCTTTAAAACTCTGGTTTCTTATGATGACCATGGGTCAAGGAAAGCTGTGGATTATGTGATTACAAAGGGCTTCAGCAACATAATGTTCATGAAAAGTTTCGCAGCAGCCATAGTTCAGGCCATGGAAAAGCAGTCAAAGGTCCAATCTCATGTCGGTTGCTACCGGCTTCTGAAATGGTCGTGCCTTCTTCTAACAAAGAGTCAATTTGCTTCAGTTTCAAAGACTGCAGTATGTAGACTAGCTGCAGTGCAGGCATCTCTGCTTCATATTATTATGCAAAAATCTTTCCGGGAGCGAAGGGCTTGCAAGCAAATGTTCTTTCACCTTTTCTCACAGGTGTCAAATTGTTAGCACAAACTTGTTTGTTTTAGACTTATTGATCATTTCTTCATTGAGGGTTTTTAACATTATATTTGTCTCAGTCGCCAGATGTCTACGAAACCTATCTGGATGAATTGAAGTGTGCAAGGATTCCTTACAAAGATAGTCCTGAATTGCTAAATCTACTGTTGGAGTTTTCTAGATCTTCACCTTCTTTCGGAAAAGTGAAGGTAGGAGAATTTTTGATTGTTACTCTTTGCTACATAGGTGGCATCCTGTGGCTTGGTTTACACGCTGTGCCATCTATTTTACTTGGCTTTATTTTAGTTCTTTCTGCGGTGTACTGATGACATATTTTTCTGTTTACAGGCAATGTTCATTGATATTTATGTTAAAGCAGTTTTAAGTTCAAAAGAAAAGCCATCGAGGGGGCTTAGCGAATCCTTTCTCCCTCTTTTCTTGCAAATGTCACATGAGGATTTTCTAAATGATGTGTTCCCTCCTTTGGTGAAAATGTTGAAGCGGAATCCTGAGATTTTGCTGGAAGCCGTGGCTATTCTCTTGAAAGCGGTCTCCATTGATATGAGCAAGTTCGCTGTTGAACTTCTTTCAGTGATATTGTCACAGGCACGGCATTCTGAAGAAAGTAGAAGGCTAGGGGCATCAGCCATAGTGCGATGTTTGAGCCAAAAGTCTAGTAATCCTGATGCTTTAGAAGCTATGTTTAATGCTGTTAAAGCTGTAATTGGAGGTTTGGAGCTGCATAATTTTCGAAATTTGTTCCTAGTTTCTATTTTTATTATCTTTTGTAATCTGCTACGAGTTTGTTGCTACTGCTGCTGCTAACTTAGGGCCTCACTGTCGCCAGGCTCCGAGGGGAGGCTTCAGTTTCCTTACCAGAGGATCGGCATGTTTAATTCTCTGCGAGACTTGTCATATGGACCAGATGGGAAATATTTGAACAACATATCTTGTACAGTCTGTAGATTTCTTTTGTCATGCTACAAGGATGAAGGCAAGCAAATTCTTTATGGTTTATTTCTCTATTATTTTGCATGGGTACCTGTAGCCTTTCTGTTTCCTGTTAATTGTGTTCTAGTGCATTTGATTGCTCATTGTGCAAACCAGGATGCCAAGTCAATTTTTTTGGACTAATCATTTTGTTATCTTACATTCGTTTATGGTGATTTCCGTTCAATGTTGATTCTCAGGGAATGAAGATGTGAAACTCACAATTTTGACAGCCATTGGGTCCTGGGCAGCTCGATCAGTGGATGCTGTTCAACCCGATTTAGTGTCTTTCATTGCTTCTGGTCTGAAAGAGAAGGAGGCTTTAAGGCGGGGACATCTTCGTTGTCTAAGAGTCATATGCCAAAACCCTGATGCAATATTACAGGTAAATCTGTCCAATTAAATGAAGATGTATTGCTCTGCGGTCAGCTTCTTTTTTCACAGATAATGGACTTGTCTCCGCATTTGGATGTTTTTGTCATATTTTTCCATGTAACCGTTTTTGTCACTAAATGGAATGTGTGCCTTATGTGCTTCAGATCTCATCTCTGCTTGGCCCCCTCATTCAACTTGTCAAAACTGGATTCACTAAAGCAGTGCAACGTTTGGATGGTGCATATGCACTGCTTATTGTAGGAAAAATTGCAGCTTCTGATATCAAAGCAGGTTGATAAAACAACTGTGGTTCATATGATGTTTCTTCTTGTTCTTATTCTCTTACTAGCATGACCAAAGTTGGAATGTCTTCAGTATGCTTTTTTGTCCCGGCGGACTGAATTGATATGTGTTCCTCTGTCTGTTTCAGAGGAGAATTTGGTGAAGGAAAAGATCTGGTCCTTGATATCCCAGAATGAACCTTCAGTTGTTCAAATTTCTATGGTAACTAGTTTAAGGCTTAGTAATATGGATTTGTCTAGCTTATGCCTGTCTTTGGTGACCGTAGTACATTCATTCATGATTATTCCTACATTTATGCGTTCAAGCTAATCCTTACTCTGAATAATGTTATATGTGCTGACGCACAGGTTTCAAAATTGTCAGTCGAAGATTGCATGGCTTGCGTTGATCTTCTTGAAGTGTTGTTAGTGGAACATTCACGGAGGTTAAGTTCATTTGTAGTTTTGCATCTGGCCCTGTGCTATGAGTTTGGAGTAACTTCTAAGTGTTGCTTTCTTTTGTGTTTTGCAGAGTGCTCGAAGCTTTTCCAATAAAATTGATTTTACAGGTGTCGGTTTGCTATAACGATATATTATCTCACTGTGGTAAAAGTTCATTTTTAAAAAAAATGCTGGTAAAAGTATAACTGGTCAGTCGTATTTTGTTGCAGCTGTTGATCTTCTTGCTATGCCATCCAAGCTGGGACATTCGGAAAATGTCACATATGGCTACTAGAAAAATAGTTATGGCTTCTCCGCAATTGTCAGAACCTGTTCTGGTCGAATTCAAACACTTCCTCTCTGCGGTTGGAGAGAAACTATCTGTTTCAATGATGGGGTACAATCTTACTTTATAGCCTGTCAACACTTCTTTCTCACTTGGGTGACATAAATATATCTAATGCTTTGATTAGGTGTTTTGTTGGTTCACATTGGTGCGTATCATCACCCCAGAAAAAATATTTCTGTTTCTGTCACTCTAGTGATTGTCATGCTCTTAAGTTGATGTAGATCATAGTCTGATCAATAATTTGGTGAACCAAATCTTACTTCAGATGTGTGTAGTGATGCAGATACTACATTGGATGCTCAATTTCCATTTGTTCCATCAGTTGAGATTTTGGTGAAGGCTTTTTTTCTTATATCTTCTGTGGCACTTGCATCTTCTCCAAGTGTGTGTGAGCATATATTGTTCTGCTCACATCATCCGTGCATTCTGGGAGTTGCTAAAAGAGATGCTGTTTGGAAGGTGAATTTCAATATCTTTATCTGTTCTTTATATGTGCATCTGAAGTGTGATAAAAGAATGAGTAGAAAACCTGCCAAAGACTGGAAATTTGAAATATACACGCTTATATTCTTCGCTATGACAGACGCAGCTCTCAAAACATGCGCTAGCATGATAGTACTCTGCCTGGTTTGAAAGATATGAAAAGATAAGCCTAATAATAATAACACTGTGATGGGCAGTTGAGATTCAAAATAGAAATGTTACAAGCATGAAAGAAACTATCTAGTTATGGTTAGCAGTCCAGCACAAGATGAAACATTGGAGTGGTTGGACCTTCTATAGATCTGCTGCTTACTGCCCACCTCTCCTCTTGCTTGATATTGTTTGTTGCAGAGGCTTCATAGGTGCCTGCGGACACAAGGGTTTGATGTGATTGCCACTGTTTCTGCTGGTGCGGAAAAGTTATGCAAGGTAAATGCTATGCACCAAACTTCCAGGGAAATTCCATCTGGACTGTAGTCCCTAATGTTTTTTATCTGAATACTATGACTCATCAGCAGGATCATGTTCTTATAGTTGACAGAAGAAATTTTTTACTTCTGCTCTCATTACTTAATGGCATTTCACTTCTGGAAATTTGAAATGCCTTCTGATATTTTGTATATTGGTACAACTTTTGGTCATGTGTAAATTAATTAAAATTCTTACGTTGAAAAGTGTTTCGCATGTTGCTGTTCTATTACATTAAATGTCTCATAGTGATGAAGGATAGAAGTTTGAGTTTAACAAACTTTGACTGTTAGATTGACCTGGATTATCACCTTGGTATATTGTATTGAAATCCTCCCAGACCTTGTTCCTTTACTGTTTCATTATTGCAAAAATCAACTAATTGGTACATTTGAGTGCCTAGGAAAATGTATTGTTTGCCTGACCGAACTTGCTTCTTGTTTGAGTAATCAGCTATACTTTGGACTGTATATATATTATCTATTAGGCGATTTTGTAAGTAGGGCTCCCTGCAGCTCAGTACTGACCTCTGTCCTTGTCTTTGTCAGGGCCTCCTTGGACTAGGGGGGTTGACGAGTCCAAATGTACTTGAACAGGAAGCAGCTATAAATTCGGTGTCAACATTGATGTCCATAATTCCGAGAGACACTTATTTGGAGTTCGAGAAGGTTTGTTACTCTGATACAAGTGATGCTATTGCATCCGGTCCTTTGCCCAACTCAATATTTTATTGTTGCTGACTCCTCGCTTTTTTTTTGGGGGGGGGGGGGGGGGGTGTTGTTCTCAGCATTTGGAAAGTCTGCCAGATCGATATTCACATGACTTGCTGTCACCAAGTGATATTCAGGTAAATTTCTTCATTGCTGTAACTTTATGCTTCCTATCCCATTGGGACATTATTCCTTACATTTCTATGTGCTTCTAAACTGGAGTTGATACATTTACTGTTATGATATACAATACACTTTTTCGCATAATCGTCATTTTGACTACTCTATTTGTTGAGTGGTGATCTCTACCCTTCAACAAAAGAGAGTATGCTTTTTAGAGTTGTCTACTATTTAGATGTGAATCCTAGAGTGCTTTAAATTACTATGTTGTCTAATGACACCTCTATCCATTCATCTAATTCTACCTATATGCTGGACTCTTTTTGTGAGTTCGACTTTTATCATTATATATTAGACCAACATTGAAGATTTATGCTCACAATATTGATTTGCAGTCTAATTAGAAGTCGAGGGTATTGTGTACGATTTTTCAAAAGGCTACTCTACACTTTACCTCTACAGTCTTCTCCTGCCTTTTTGTCCATAAAAAAATTGATGCGGGGATTTTTTCTATCTATGTTGATAAATTTTATTGGTTAGACCCATTGGCTCCTAAATGTAAGGACAGCTGTGTTTGACTTAAATTATGATTAACTGCATTACTGTTCAAATGGAAAGTCTTAGTGCAGCTATCCCTTTGTGTACTTCCTTTCCAGCCCCAAGTTATCAACAGCCATTTTAAGGGCTGGTGAGAGGAATGCTTGAAAAGATGCCCAAACACTGGGCTGCATAGTCCTGAGAATTGAAAAATGACATGGAACAGTTTTGGGAGTAAAATATTGCAAAACTCCAGTAGCTCCCTTGTCCTCAGTATGCTACCTGAGCCTTGAATTTAAGAAAAGTATTGACTGAAAACTAAACCAGTCATATGTCCTAATTCCTATCCTGACTGTATAGAGACCGTCTTGTTTCAGCTGATGCATACTTTGTCTTGAGCCTGACTCTTTTTTTTTTTTTTGTCTTTTTTTCTCGATGAAAGTTGCAAAATTTTATGTCTTGCTTGTCTTTAGAAAGTGCATGGAGTCAAAAGACTGGTGCTAACACTAGTCTCTGGCTTGTTTGACCAGATTTTTCAGACTCCTGATGGGATGCTTTCTGGTGAGCTTGGTGTTTATGTTGCTGAATCTGTTAATTCCCAGAACTCAAAGCAGGTAATAGTACATTCTTGGTTGGTCATATAGCTTTGTTTGCCTTCCTCAACTTCCTCAAAATTATTTCCATTTTGTATTCTCTCTTGACTTTGTTCTGGGCTATGTCCATGCCTTGAAATCCACATTTTCTCTTGAGTAGAAATTGACGAGATGAAGAAGCGATTAGTCAATGTTAGCTTATTTTTCTTTCTACTTTTTCCAGAACCATGTTATTTCGAATCACTCTGTGAAGAGGGAACCAGCGGCTGCAGGGAAAAAGGATTCAGGAAAAGCAATAAAGAAGGCTGGTATGTAATTGTTTATTCATATTCCAGTTGGCTGTATTCCTTGGTTTCTAACACTGAAGCGACCATCACAGATAAAGGGAAAACAGCAAAGGAAGAGGCACGCGAGTTATTGCTAAAGGAGGAGGCTTCTATACGTGAGAGGGTACAAGCCATACAAAGGAATCTGTCTTTGATGCTGAGAGCTCTTGGTGAAATGGCTATATCTAATCCTGTGTTTGCACACAGTCAGTTACCTTCACTGGTTTGTATCTAATAACTTTTCATGTTGATATATATATTTAACATATGGATTACTCAAGATCATGTTATCTAATAAATGTGGTACCTTTGTTGTCCGACCCGAACCTTTCTTGCATAGAAAACTCGATCTTAGTGGACATTACAGAAGTTTTTGTTCTTATAGAAAGAATATTTAGAAAAAATTTCATTGTGAACATCCAGTGAATCAGGCTTTTGTGCTGCAACAATTTGGTAGAAGAAGGTGTGATGGGCACTGATCTTTACAAACATTATTTGTGGTCTTCAGAACTGCTTGTGATCATGTTTTGTGCTTGTGATTGGATGTCTTGCTCGACCCCCCTATGGTTTATTCTTGGTGTATGAAAATTATTACTATTTAGGGCTACTTTTCTCATTTCTTTTACTACATTCTGAGTGTTTCAGGTGAAGTTTGTCGACCCTTTGCTGCGATCACCTGTTGTTGGTGATGTGGCCTATGAGACATTGGTAAAGCTTGGAAGATGTTCTGCTCACCCTCTTTGTAATTGGGCCCTTGATATTGCCACTGCTTTGCGCCGAATAGCGACCGAGGAAGTTAGTATCGAATTGGATCTGATACCCTTTACTGGCGAAGGGGAGTCCCATTCAGTACCAACACCTGGGATCTTTGAGAGAATTGTTAACGGCTTATCTACATCTTGCAAATCTGGACCTCTTCCTGTAGACTCATTCACTTTTGTTTTTCCAGTAAGCACTTACTTTTCCATTCCTTATTTAGTCCGTTTTAGTCGATCGTCGTACTGTTCTGCTGACTTCCTTATAACATGTTTGTTAGATAATGGAGCGGATTCTATTATCCTCTAAGAGGACTGGACTCCATGATGACGTGCTGCGAGTTATATACATGCACATGGATCCTCTATTACCCCTTCCCAGGCTCAGGATGCTGTCGGTAAATTTCCACATCATGCTTAGAACTGTAGGCCCGACTTCTGTTTTTCCCCCATGTTTCCTTTGACTGCTTTATTTACATTTAATTTTTTGCTTTGCAGACTCTTTATCATGTTCTCGGGGTTGTTCCTGCCTATCAAGGATCTATTGGACCAGCATTGAATGAGTTGTGCCTTGGTTTGCGGCCAGAAGAAATTGCCCCTGTATGCTTTAGAACGAGTGGCTTTCCTAAATTTCATTTTTATCTGTTGCTTACTTTTCCGTGCATTCTTCTTTGGTAGGCTTTATATGGTGTCTATGCTAAGGAGGTTCATGTGAGAATGGCCTGCTTAAATGCCATAAAATGCATTCCTGCTGTTTCCAGCCGCTCTATTCCTCAACATGTGGAAGTAGCTACTGGCATTTGGATTGCTTTGCATGATCCTGAAAAGGTACGGGTTCTAGCTGTACTCTTATTGAATATTATCTTCCAGTTCTATATATGCTTAACGTAGTGGAGCCACTAACTTATCTTCTTTGTTCCTAGGTCCTTACTAGTGTTGGTATATGATTAGCAAGATTGATTTTATTGTTTATGTTGTATAATTAAGAACAATCTCCTGTGTCTGTCGTGCTTGTTTCTTTCGTTTTTTTGGGACTCTGGCATGGTAACAGGAGTAACATGTCTTGGCATTCAGAGAGGTCTCTTAGGAATCTTTTCCACTTGGTTTTGCCTCAATGATTTTGCTGTGCGACTGTAGTATCTAGTACCAGTAATCATTTTGTATCATTCCTAGTGGAACAATTTAGCATGAAATTTTATGGTGAATTCTGACGAAAGATACCCTGGTATCCTAAAGGCTAATTGTAGTTGTAGAATGGAGTCTAAAGCCTGTATAGACCTTCACTAGGAATCCTGTACTTCTGATGTGGAAAGTAATTCTGATGTCCTGCAATGAGTGTCTCAAAAGCTGAGGGTAGTTGTTTCAATTGAATTACAATTCATACAGAATTGCCCGACTGGTTGCGTTTCAGAAGAGTTTGCTGTTTTTGTTGTTCTTGTATGGTTCTCTATACTGCCTTCTGCTTTTATGTACATAGGTAATTTGGAGGGTTAGTATTGCTGGGGCCTGGGGCATAGAGCATCTCTCGTTGGGTTGAATAATCGTTTTCCGTGGTGGCCTAAAGCATGTCAGGGTTCATTTAGCCTGATTCCTTGGACGTTGAAGACGCTTCATTATTTCTCTTCCTTCAAATCTTCTGCATGTTTGGAATGACATTTGTTTGTTGTCTTACTGTGGACAGTCGATTGCTGAAGCTGCAGAGGATATCTGGGATCGCTATGGGCATGAGATTGGGACAGACTATTCTGGACTTTTCAAAGCACTTTCACATGTTAATTATAATGTTCGGTTAGCTGCTGCAGAGGCATTAGCTGCTGCATTAGATGAAAATTCTGATTCAATACAGGTTTGTATTGATCACTCTAGCTTGTTTTAAAATTTAATGAGCAATTGAACATCATTTTCAGATGCTTTGAGATTCTTCCTTTGATACCATACTGGAGATTCTGCCATGTCTAGTAAATTATAGGAAACAGAACCATTGATGTATTGAGTTATGGTTTTGCTACGGGAAGAACTGTATCTGGTCCTAATTGGGGGTAGGAGCTGTTTCTTATAGTTTGCTAATTGATCCAGGAGACTCTTTCTACTTTATTTTCATCATATCTGCGGGATGTTGGTGGCGGAGACAGTAATGTTGATGCTGGTTGGCTTGGTAGACAAGGAGTAGCATTGGCTTTGCATTCAGCTGCAGACGTTCTGAGAACGAAGGATCTTCCTGTTGTTATGACCTTCCTCATATCTCGAGCTTTGGTAACAGTTCCTCTACGTTGAAGTTCATTATTTTTTCATAGTAGTTCGATGGTAACAAGGTTTGAAACTAGGTGAGGTGGATTTTTCCATCAGCATTACCACCAGGCACAACCCCTTGGGGTTGAAGTTCATTATTGTTTTTGTTGTTTGTTTTTTTTAATAAGGGTGATATAGGTTTGATGTTTAATTTTTTGGTGCTAATTAAGTGAGTCGAACCTGGGACCTCCAGGTTCAAGACCAGTGACTGGACTAAACCCTTGTTTGCTTTTGTTCTGTGTTGTTAATGTTGTTCCAATTGTGTGGAGTCCTGTTGTCCGTGGATAGTTGTGAGTAGATCAGAAACACTCTAGTTGCTGAATGTTACCAATGACCCTAAATGGGCTTTCACGACATGTAGAGTTTGTTTCTTTTACCAAGCAGAGGGGCATGCAATGCTTTCTAGTGTTGGCTTCTTTCCAATGTAGTTTGTTTTAGGCTTGATGGAATGAGGACTTGTGATTAGCATTTTCTGTTCTTTTATGGATGTTCAACAAAAAATTAGGAAACTATTTTATTTATTTAATTTTAACGAGTTGATTTAATTTTTCTTCCTTTACCATTTTATGTATGCTGTTGAAGTGTTAATTTTCATTTGCATCATCTCCTTTCTAGTTCGTTAGTTTTGTTGGTTGTTTTTTTAAGTATTTAAGGGCATTTGCTGGTTCGGTCCAAAAGCACCATTTGACAATGTAAAAAGAGCTATTAACCTAGCCTCTAAAGTGGCAAAATCGTTAAAGAACACACACTTATATGCGTTCCTCTTGTTCAGCAGGCATAAACTATCTGCAATTATGCTTAAACACGTTCCTTTTGTCGAATAATTCCCTTGCCCAGATGTCCTTTCACTCTATCTTGCACAACATAAGTGGTCTGCACTTTTCTGTAGTTTAGCACCATTTTTCCTACATTAATTGTAATTTGTGCTTTGGATGCTACAGGCAGATACCAACACAGATGTTCGTGGTAGAATGATCAATGCTGGTGTTCTGATTATCGACAGGCATGGAAGAGATAACGTTTCCTTGTTATTTCCAATCTTTGAGAACTATTTAAACAAAAAGGTTAGATTGCAAGCTGAATTCAAGTCCCATTGTGAAGGTCTGAACCTAGGGTCAGTTGGATGTTTTCATCCTCCTTGTACCATTATGTATATCACAATCCTTGCACTTATGTGTCTTAGTATATCTATATAATGCAGTTGGATCTTTTCCTTCTATATTTGTTTCTTAGGTTAAATCTCGATTCTCAATTTCACTCAGTTCATTAAGAAAAGGGGTCAATTTTATCGCTCATAAGGATGCATCATACCCATTTATCAATGTTGCCACTCGCCCTCTTAACTAATTTTGTTTCCACCTTCATAGACCATGGATGAAGAGAAGTATGATTTAGTTCGTGAAGGTGTAGTCATATTCACAGGGGCTCTGGCAAAACATCTAGCTCAGGTTTACATTTTTTGTACCCCTGAATTCCATCCCCTTGATTGAGTTGTTCATTCTATTTATGCTTTGATTTGAAACTGGTAATATTTATCAGGACGACCCTAAAGTTCATGCCGTTGTTGAGAAACTGCTGGATGTTCTAAATACACCCTCAGAAGCGGTTCAGAGGGCAGTATCAGACTGTTTATCCCCACTAATGCAGTCAATGAAAGTAAGTGGAACCTTTTGTGTTTAGTTAATATTATAAACTGTGAGCTTGTTACTTCTGTTTTCCTCAGCTTGATCATTTAATCACTGATTTTCTCGACACTTCTCCTTGGTGGCATGAGCTAAGTTTTCTGATGTTGCATTCTATTATGTTTCCCAAGGGTGATGCTCCTGCTCTTCTTTCACGACTGTTGGACCAACTGATGAAGAGCGACAAATATGGTGATCGCCGTGGCGCAGCTTTTGGACTGGCTGGAGTGGTTAGGGGATTTGGGTTATCTTGCTTGAAAAAGTATGGAATCATTGCGACATTAAGGGAAGGTCTTGTTGACAGGTACTGCTACCCGCTTCTTAGTGATTTATTGCTTGGAAACTATGTCCATCTTGACAAATGCCTTGAAATTGCTGTTTAAAGCTTCCTAAGATCTCTGGTCAATCTGTTTGGTGGTGACAAACATTACTTTGAGTTGAGAGTTAATGCTGGTCCTTCAATATATTTATTTCCTTATAATTAAGTTAGCAGCGTGCTACTCAGAAAATGCAATCAAGTGGTGCTCCCCTCATACTTAAATGTCACTGATTATCCTTATTTGACTTATTCTTGGTTTTGATTTCCAGGAATTCTGCAAAATCACGAGAAGGAGCCCTCTTAGCTTTTGAGTGCTTGTGTGAAAAGCTAGGGAAATTGTTTGAACCGTATGTATCATGCCTCTTTCTACCAGGGTTGAAAGTTTTCAATTGTGCATATCCTCTGATGGCTCTCTCTTTGTTCTTGGTCCAGTTATGTCATCCAAATGCTACCGGTGCTATTGGTTTCCTTCTCAGATCCAGTTGTTGCTGTTCGCGAGGCAGCTGAATGTGCTGCTCGGGCAATGATGGCTCAACTAAGCGTGATGGGTGTCAAACTTGTGCTTCCATCACTTTTAAAGGTGCTTGAAAGTTGTTTGGGAGTTATAAAGGTCACATGTAGGAAGTATGATTAACTCAAATCGCTAGTTTGATATTCACATGCAAAGTCATGGTGATATATGCACATCACGTTCAGACGATTTAACTTTTGGCAGTAGTTCTGCTGAGAACAACAATGTGGAAACATAGTTTTTATTATTAGAAGAACGTGGAAACTTAGTTCGGACATTCATTCTAGTCGAGACTAGAGTAGAACTGAATTAAAGTAGTCTATTTAAGGGAGCCCTAGAATAAATGGACACCCCCTTAGCAGTGCAGCTCGTATAGTCCCATATAGTAGTGCACATTGTTATAGGAGTTGCAAATTCTATGACAATGGGACACGATTGTGAACTTTCCTTAATACTTGTTAAATTGGGATAACGTTTTGGATTCCAGAGGGGATCGATTTTACCTGAAACTTAATATCCTTGATGTACAAAATCCATCATGTTATTCAGGCTGTGGAGGCTATACTGTGCATTTAAAAAATACTAACAAGTAGGAACATGCTGTGCTAGCAGGGTCTTGAGGACAAAGCTTGGCGTACGAAGCAAAGCAGTGTCCAGCTACTTGGTGCAATGGCATACTGTGCTCCGCAGCAGCTTTCTCAGTGCCTTCCAGCAATAGTGCCTAAACTGACGGAGGTTTGTCTAGCCTTGTAATTATTTGCTGGGGAGAGCATAAAGTGTTCTGATTCTTGAAATTACTTGGTTAACTTGTAGGTATTGACAGATACACACCCTAAAGTTCAGTCGGCTGGACAAACAGCATTGCAGCAGGTTTTGTTCAGTCTGGTTGATTGGATATTATGTTTCTTTGACCCATATCTGTTGAATTGTTGTTAACATCTAAAAGTGCCACTTTTAGGTTGGAAGTGTTATTAAGAATCCGGAGATATCGTCCCTTGTTCCTACACTTCTCATGGCCCTTTCAGACCCAAATGAAAATACCAAATATTCTCTGGATATTCTCCTTCAAGTAAGAGTTATGGATAAGAAGTTAAATACCATTGGTTTGTTTCCTTATATTAAAGCTAATAAAGTAACACAAAATTGGTGCAGACAACATTTATTAATTCCATTGATGCTCCTTCACTTGCACTGCTGGTCCCTATAGTCCATAGAGGATTGAGGGAGAGGAGTGCAGAAACCAAAAAGAAAGCTGCACAAATAGTTGGAAACATGTGTTCGTTGGTCACAGAATCAAGGGATATGATTCCTTACATTGGTTTGCTTCTTCCTGAAGTGAAAAAGGTAAATCAAGCATTCGATGAAGCTCTTTGTGATTGTCGAAATTATGGTCTCAGAATTTCACTCTTACTTCCTTGGCAAGTAACAGGTTCTTGTAGATCCAATTCCCGAAGTTCGCTCAGTTGCAGCACGGGCGCTTGGATCTCTTATCAGAGGGATGGGTGAAGAGAAATTCCCAGATCTTGTTCCTTGGTTGTTTGATACTCTTAAATCTGATGGTAGCAATGTTGAGAGATCTGGGGCAGCTCAGGGGTTGAGTGAGGTGAGAATCTACAGCTACACTACATTTGTGTTTCTGATGGGCATCCAACATATACATAGGTTAATTTCATTTGTTTTTCTGGTTTTGGCCAATTGTTTTTTGGTGATTTCATTTTTTAACTGGTGTTTATAATTGCTGTACGCACTTATAATATGCAGAAATGGATATCATAATGTAGGGTATATTTTCTGTTCAGGTTCCAGGCCATTGTTTTGCCAATCTTGGACTGTTAACCAACTACCAATAGAAAATTGAATAGAACAGTTCTTGAGGATATGCATTCCACGTGATTTAAGTTGTGCCACTAAAATAGCACCTGAACTCTGAATGGCTTTCTTTTGTGATTTTTGAAGCAAGTCTAAGGCGGTTTTGAACATTGACTTAAAATTACTTTTCACTATACAGAAAATGGGGGTTAGGCTCTCTTGTAATGTTTTGTTTTATCTATTAGTTTTGAATTATGGTACCTACAAATAGTTAGCTTTGAACCATGATTTTAAATGACTTGGCGCACATGTAAGAAGTTGTGGTTACACATTCATTTCCATAGTGTAATTTGTAATGTCTGGTACAACCATTTAATTTATTATGAAAGTCTTATTTAATTTTCATCTACTTCTTCATCTCCTTAAACCCTAAGTTTTAGCTCCTTAAAATGTGGACCAGGCCAAGCAAAAACAGCTGTAAATTTATGATGTGATTGTTGGCTGCTCTTAATGTCAGTCGTTTGGGTTTTGTTTTCTCCTGCCATCAGGTGTTGGCTGCACTTGGTGTAGATTACTTTGAGCACACACTTCCAGATATAGTTCGAAACTGTTCTCACCAGAGGGCATCTGTGCGTGATGGATATCTGACGCTTTTCAAGGTGAACATGTTATAGACAGTGCTTAAGCTTCTTTCTTGAGGAATTTAATTTGTTATTGACTAATCTTATTCTGGGTCTTAAAATGGGTTGCAGTATTTACCAAGGTCATTGGGGGTTCAATTCCAGAACTATTTGCAGCAAGTATTACCTGCCATCATAGATGGTAATCTTTCTGCTCATTTTTCTTTCGTGCTGACTTAAACATGTACCTGCATTTTCCACCATGTATAAGTTATATTCAGAATATAGGCTCCATCTATTGGCTGATGCATATGTTCTGATGTTCTGGCTGATTATATCTCTCAGGTCTCGCTGACGAGAATGAATCTGTACGTGAAGCAGCATTAGGTGCTGGCCATGTCCTAGTGGAGCACTATGCAACAACGTATTCACTTTTTTCCTTGAAGACATTTTTTTTCCCTTCAATTTGTCATGTGTTCAGTTTCTAATTTTGTTGGTTGGTTGAGTACGGTTGTTATCAATACAATTTTTGGATGCTAGTAATATTTTCTTCTCATCACCTGGCTGGTCATAAATATTTTCGATACTGGCATTAGTTTTTTCTGTTGTGGCAACTAATCATTTGCATTGTTATTTTTTCCTTCTTTTCTATCCAGATCCTTACCTCTTCTTCTTCCGGCTGTTGAGGATGGTATTATCAATGACAATTGGCGTATCAGACAAAGCTCTGTCGAGCTGTTGGGTGATCTCTTGTTCAAGGTATATTTGCCGCCTTCTATTACTGTTCTTGTGCCGGATTCTTCCAAAAAAAAAAAAAAAAAAAAAAGAAAAAAGAAGAAGATAAATAATAATTAATTTGTCCCTTCTTTTAGGTTGCTGGAACTTCTGGAAAATCTTTGCTGGAGGGAGGCAGTGATGATGAAGGTGCCAGTACTGAAGCGCAAGGGCGTGCCATTATTGAGGTTTTGGGGAGAGATAAGCGTAATGAAGTGCTGGCTGCATTGTACATGGTCCGGTCAGATATCAGTTTATCTGTCCGTCAGGTGTGAGGCTTAAAATCTTTTTGCTTTGGTGTATTTCGCTTTTTATTTTATTTATTTTCTTATAATTTGTGTTCTTCTTTAATCAGGCTGCCCTGCACGTATGGAAAACTATTGTGGCAAATACTCCCAAAACTCTGAAGGAAATAATGCCAGTATTAATGAATACTCTAATAGCTTCACTTGCATCATCGTCATCAGAAAGGCGGCAGGTTGGAAATCGTATATTCAGTTTGGAAATCTCTTTATCATTCGTTAGAATGAATTTGCTAATTGAGAGATTTGATGGTTTACAGGTTGCTGGACGTTCGTTGGGTGAACTTGTTCGGAAGCTTGGTGAAAGAGTACTTCCTTTGATTATCCCAATCTTGTCGCGGGGGCTGAAGGATCCTGATTCCGGCAGAAGACAAGTTAGTTTTTTACAGTGCAACCACCGCATTCTATTTGTTTCTCTCTCAATATTTATCCGCCTGACGTGTGCGCACACGACAGTACAAATAACATAGATAGGCAACTCATTCGGTTTTGAGCTGACAATATTCATTATGAAATAAACTAATGGATGCCTCAATACTGCTCTCACGTTTCATTGTTTGCCTTAGTAGGCATGAGTTTGCTGCCTTTGGTCTACTGATGCCCGTTGGGAATTTTGAAATCCATATCTACCATTGAAGCTCACAAGCTTATGCTGTCTGCTGACGTTTTAGCTTGCATTGTTGCGTTCTTAGATTCTTGTATATTCTTGATGACAGGGTGTATGCATTGGTCTAAGTGAAGTGATGGGAAGTGCAGGGAGGAGTCAGTTATTGAGTTTCATGGATGATCTTATCCCAACCATAAGGGTTGCCCTTTGTGACAGGTTTATCATTTGCTTAATGCTGCTGTAGGCTGTAGCTACCTTTGATATGGTCATTTTATGACGATTTTGCAATCTTGGTGACAGCGCACTAGAGGTTCGCGAGTCTGCTGGCCAAGCATTTAGTACCCTTTACAAGGTACTTATCGTTCTACTTCCATTGTAAAGAGACATAGTTTGCATGTGGTATTATTGGGTGAGGAATGCACTAAATGGTTCTTATTCAGAGTGCTGGAATGCAAGCAATCGATGAGATAGTCCCTACTCTGCTCCATGCCCTAGAAGACGATGAAACTTCTGACACTGCTCTGGATGGCCTGAAACAAATCTTAAGGTAACATTTAGTGGATATTAAATAAATAGTTAACTCTATGTCTGGTGCTAAGTTGCTGTAATTGATTCAGTGTTAGGACAGCGGCTGTGCTACCTCACATTTTGCCTAAGCTGATCCATCCTCCTCTAACGTATGTACTATCTCCCCTGCTTTCTCTAGTATATATATATGTCTGTCAGCCATGAAAATCTTAGTGCTTATGTTCTTATTATGTCTTTGGGATTCAATGCAGAGCCTTCAATGCGCATGCCTTAGGGGCCCTAGCAGAGGTTGCTGGACCAGGTCTTAATGTTCATCTTGGAACTGTACTTCCTCCTTTACTCTCAGGAATGGGCGATGATAATAATGAGGTATATATGTTGGTTGAATTTGATGGTGTAGTATTTGGCTTTGGGTCTTATTGCAGCTAATCTTACTGTCCAGATGAATTTTTTTTCTTCTGTTGCTGGAAAACTAGTTGTTCTTATTTTTGGTCTTCATGATATCACTTTTTTATATTGTTTAGGAAGTTCAAAATATGGCTAAGGAAGCTGCGGAAACAGTGGCCTTGGTGATAGATGAAGAAGGTGTCGAGTTTTTACTGGGAGAGCTTCTTAAAGCTGTTGGAGATAATCAGGTATATTGATTCATTGTAGCTGTTTTCCTGGGACAAAAAGGAAAGAAATGATGAAGTCTTCCCTTCACTATGTTTCTAACTTCTATCGTTGCTTGTTGTTATGTTTTCAGGCTTCAATCAGAAGAAGTTCATCATATCTGATTGGATACTTGTTCAGAAATAGCAAATTGTACTTGGTTGATGAAGCTCCAAACATGATATCTACTCTCATTGTTTTGCTAAGTGATTCTGATGCTGCAACGGTTGAGGTATTTTCATGCATAAATCTAATTATTCTCTTGCTATTATGGTGCAACTTATCTGACATCGAGTTGTAGGTTGCTTGGGGAGCTTTATCGGCGGTTCTTGATTCTGTTCCCAAGGAGCTACTTCCTTCATATATGAAACCAGTACGGGATGCCGTATCAACGGCTAGAGATAAAGAACGCAGGAGAAAGAAGGTTACTTACTTCTAGAGTGCATCAATGATGATTAGAAGTATCGTTCTTGTTGACTGACTTGCAGGTGCTTTTGGTCACATGATTAAATTGCAGGGAGGATCAGTTCTTATTCCAGGCTTCTGTCTGCCTAAAGCACTCAGGCCATTGCTTCCGATATTTCTCCAGGTATGGATATTCTTATATGTTTCTTGTGAGAGTATTCAACCTTAAAATTTCGACCTAAGTTATGCTATATTTTGGGGGTAGGGGTTATTATGGATATGATTTTCTTTATATAAAAGAGTCGATATCATCAAGTTGTATTTGGTGTTTCTGTTATTTTGGTCAAATTGTTAGGCAAACTGCAATTTTCTGTCTACAGGAGTACTCCAATAGATGCTCCATTTTGCGGCTCTAAGCTACTTACTAATCCATCTTTACCCAGTCAGATTATGTGCAGAAATTTTTGGTTGGCCATATATTTGTTTGATTAGTCTCATTCCTACATACTTCAGTCTCGTCGGTTATTAGTAATACCCAATTAAGCTGGTAGAATCTTAAATCTTAACGAAAATCACACACAATAATGGTTACTGTGTTATAATAGAGAAAGAGTAGAGAGATTGCAGGGGATTTAAATGGTTCTCACTAGCTCACAGTGCAAATAATATTTTGTGGAGGTCTAGAGTTCACCGGAACAACTTTTATATTCTTCATTTAAAAGGGAAATCTTGCCACTGGCAAAAGACTGGCTCGTGAAATTTCTTTTGGTATATAGATCGAGAATTCGAGATAGTTCATCAATTATTGGTGCTTGTGTTGATGATGGCATATACATTTCCCTACTCTGGTACCACACATGCATAAGATAACTGCTTCTAGCTTCTGAAATAAGGAAATTTGGCTGAAATTACTAGATCTGCTAGATAAAAAAAGAGCCACTTAGATGGTGATGTGTTGCCAGATGAAAGGTTCAGTGAGTACCTCTGAAAATTACACTTGCAGCAACATGTTCTCATTACCAGTTCCTAGGTTTGGTGCTTCCTTTGCAAGTTGGGTCCTAGAACTGTTCAACACCTCATTAGGTTCATGCAGTGAATTTGAGCTCTTTATTTTCATTTGGATTATTGTAGCTGGGTTCTTGAGCTGTTGTGATGCTGAACTGTTGGTTGGGGCCTAGAACTGTTAAATAATTCATTATCATATACTGGTTTCGTTTCAGCTCTTTGTTGGCCCTTGTGCATTTTGTTTCTGTTCTTCGGTACCAACCCTATGTATGCACCTTCTTGCTTTTCAACTTATGAGGCTGATTACTCTCATGTGCTGCGTCTATTAGGGTTTGACGAGTGGTTCTGCCGAGCTCAGAGAGCAAGCTGCACTTGGGCTTGGGGAGCTTATTGAAGTGACTAGTGAACAGGTTTTGAAAGAGTTTGTCATACAAATCACTGGGTAAGTACCATGGATTATGAATCTGCCAAACACGACACACTCCAGTTGTCCTCCCTAAACTCTCCTGAGTTCAATGGCATATGTTCCTTCCGTTGAATATTTTGCACATCTACTTTTTTCTACTGTGCAATACGTCTATTACATAATTCACATTACTGTATTAAATAGTGTCTGACAGCTCTATATTACAGGCCTCTAATCCGTATCATAGGGGACCGCTTCCCCTGGCAAGTGAAAAATGCAATTTTATCTACGTTAATTATCATGATAAGAAAGGGTGGCATAGCCCTGAAGCCTTTTCTTCCTCAACTTCAAACAACTTTTATAAAGTGCCTACAGGACAGTACCAGGTGAGTTTGGAAAATATGCCAAAAAGTAGTCCTACGTCCAAAGTTCATTTCTAGGTTGTCAATGTTTTTAGTTTGTACAACTTTGTTACATAGCTCTCTTTTTGTAGTTGAGATGTTTAGGGGATTAATTCCCTTTGATTATCTTTTACAGCTAATAGGTTCCTACTCCTTTCATGGTTAATTCCTTAATTGCGGCATGTTTATGGTACCATCTGAATGCAGAATGGTTCGAACAAGTGCTGCCCTTGCACTTGGGAAACTTAGTGCGCTAAGTACTAGGGTTGATCCTCTCGTGAACGACCTTTTATCAAGTTTACAGGTACCTTTTATCCAGTTTCCTTGCAAGGCCTTAGGGTTATTGTTTTTAACATCTCATGTGTTTTTCTTGCTGCACTTATCAGGCATCCGATTCTGGTGTAAGGGAGGCAATACTTGCAGCTCTAAAAGGTGTCCTAAAGCATGCTGGTAAGGGTGTGAGTGGTGCTGTCAGAGTTCGTGTCTACAGTCAACTGCAGGATTTGATTAGTCACGATGAAGACCAAACTCGAATATCTGCTGCCAGCATGTTGGGCATCACGTCACAAGTATGATTTCATTTTATTTTTATGCTTTGGACCTTGATTTATGACTACTGTTTCCTTGACATGATCCATACTGTGTAACTGATTTATATATTTGTTGTTTATAGGAATAAGTTGCTTTCTCATTTATTGATACCATAGCTGTCATGGTAGAGTCAATAGACTTGCTTTGGTTAGCTGCAGGCTGTGCATTTGGGTGTCATCTTTGGCTGTCAGGAAGCATGATTAATTTTTGTTCCAGAATTCTAATAGGTTTATTTAGAGCGGCAAACTCCAATAACTGCTGCCCATTAACATGTATTGGGATGCTTTTGAACTGGGAAAATATTGCACCTGTCAATAGGTTTCAATCTCATAGCCATGATGAAGCCATAAGTAGGAGCTGTGCTCCATCTAGACTAGTAATTCGAACTGGTGTCAATTTGATTGTATTTAAATGTCAGACAGTACAAAACAGAGTCTTATACCAAGTTGTGGTAAATTTCGAGTATAGTTTTTGTGATGACAATTACTTCTGATAGTTTTTGTGATGACAATTACTTCTGCTGCTTTTTTCATTTCACTACTAAATGCTGCTTTTTTCTCATGTTTCAAATCTTAATCCTGTTATAGACTTATTTGATTCTTTGCTTATCTGGATGCCTCATTTATCACATTACAGTACATGGACGATTCCCAGCTGGCCGACCTGTTTCAGCAGCTAGCGGACCTGCTGTTACCTTCTTCAAATTGGGTATCTAGGCATGGATCAATACTAACTATTGCATCCATGCTCAGTTACAATCCTTCGTCTGTTGTTAATAGCCCAGAATTCCCATCCGTTTTAGACTTTCTGAAACGCTCGTTGAAGGATGAAAAGGTGATTTATCCTTTACTAGCCCGGAGTGCTACAGCTTTGAGTTTCTTATACAACAACCTACTAAGCTCTACTTTATTCAATCTCCAGTTTCCTCTTCGCAAAACTTCAACTAAGGCAGTAGGAAGGCTATTGCTGCATCAGATTGGAAGTGAGCCTTCAAAAGCCTCCACATGTGTTGATTTGCTTTCATGTCTAGTTGGATCATTGAACGATGACTCAAGTGAAGTGAGGAAAAAGGCCTTATCTTCTATCAAAGCTGTTGCAAAGGTATACTCATCTATCTCATTCTGTGGTGCCTTATATGTATATGTTGTGCTTATCAGATGCTTGATGTGTCATCAATGGCTTATGTAGGCAAGTCCTTCCTTTGTGATAGCCAATATTTCATTGGTTGGTCCTGCACTTGCTGAATGTCTGAAAGATGGTAGCACGCCAGTGAGGCTTGCTGCAGAAAGATGTATCCTCCACACATTCCAGTTATCAAAAGGTACTCTCCCTCGATAAATGCCCTGGCTGAACTCTGCTGTATTTCTTCGATTGGTGTGTTTTCCCCTATACATTATCAGTTAGATGTAGTATCATGAACAGGGAGGTAAGAGGTGCAAAATTGCGACCCAACCCAACCCATTAAATTTCATTTGGGTTTGACCCAAATCCATTGGGTTTCTTGAAATCATCATGTGGTACCTAAACATTTTGTCTTACAGTTCAGTTCAGACAATTAGACAAAGCTTTGTATCCAAATTACCCTATAGTATCTAAATATTATGTGTATTACATTTGAGGACGCAAGTTTTCCGAATTTTCCAATTTGGTGAAATTTAATCCAATGATTGATTTTGTCAGTTCAGCCCCTGAATGGGAAATTTTATATATTGTGGAATCCATTTACCAAATCCAGAAACCCATTTTAACCTAATCCAATAACATATGGACCTGCAAATGCAATCCATTTACCACCTCTAAGTTTAGCCATTGCGAACATGATTCGTGGTTTTATGGTGTATGGGTTTGTGTTTGTTACCCTTAATTCATTTTTTGTGTTTTTTATTTGAGCCGAATCTGACCATGTAGATGTCTGTCAAAAATCAAAATACTATTTTGCAGGCGCAGAAAATGTTCAGGTTGCTCAGAAATTTATCACTGGCTTGGATGCTAGACGACTTGCGAAGTATCCTGAACAGAGGTAGAGTTCAATATTCACTTTTTTTCTTAAACCCTTATGTTCGGGTGTAAATACTTGCTCTGGTTATGATCATTACCTTTGGTCACTGTGAAATGCAGCGATGCCAGCGACGACAGTGACGATGATTCCACAAGTCTCTGAAGTGCTTAGGGAAACTAAAAACGAACTTTGTGGCAGCCAGTTTTTTGTCATATAGGAACACATAGCTACTCGCAGATACATAGGCAGTAGAGAAATTTTGGGATCCAAATTTTCGTTGCTGTGGTTGAGCTTTTGAAATCAGTATCTAATGAGTTGTGGATATATAGATAAAGAATTAGCTCCTCCCTACAGTCGATTTTGATTGAAATACAAGAGTCATAACTGCTCTAGAGTAAAATGTCTGTGATTTGAACAGGAAACTTTGGGTAGTCACTGTTTTGTTCAGATACTGGGCAAGGAACCTGGTCTATTTACTCCTGTGAGGAGTTACCATACCGATTTGGGATGAGCGGTTCTCTTGTTGAATGTAACAGCTTTTAGTGAACAAATTTATGCTGATGCTGAAGTTGTTAACCTTCTCCTCTGCTTTCACCTTTGTTCGTTATTGCTTCAGCCTATCGCATGGATCGACCAGTTTGCTTTGTAACCAGAGTTGAGGCTGAACTCTGATACAATCTGTTCTTCTCTTTGCCCTCCTAAGTCTGGTTTCTTTGTTCTTTGTTGGCTGCGGCCAAGATGATATGAATTTGCACTGCCAATGCAGTTGCTTTCCTCTCCCTGCACCTTGTCTGCCTCGCCTCGTAGCGGTATGAGATTCTTACTAGCTCGTGACATCAACAGCAGTTGCCACTTGCTGTCCACCCAATTCCTTCAGCTTATAGAAAGTCACTACTGCAATTTTTGGGTAATTTTCATGTTTGGTCACTGGTTTACTGAAAAGTGTCATGTTTAGTCACTATAGATATTTAATTCCAATGTTGGTCACTCGAATTAATCAAACAATCCATGTTTGGTCACTCGAATTGTTCAAACGGTCCAGGTTTGGTCATCTTTCGATGGATTGTTTGACTAATTTGAGTGACCAAATATGGATTGTTTGACTAATTGGAGTGATTAAGCACGAACTATTTGACTAATTCGAGTGATCACGTATGAACTTTTTGATTAATTTGAGTGACTAATATTAAAATTGAATATTTTTAATGACTAAGTATGACACTTTTTAGTAAACCTATTGACCAAACATGGACTTTACCCTGCAATTTTCTGCTAAAGTAGACCTGGCAAATTACAACCCGACCCGAAACCGCTCGAAAATTAGAAAATTTTGTAACCTGAAATCCAAATGACCCAAACCCGATAACCCGTGATTTTTTGGGTCGTGTTGGGTGGGTTAGCGGGTCGACCCGTTATATTTAATATATTGATCCCAAAATATGATAAAATCACTCATATGTGAAAATTTGAGAATATGTTTATTGACATGTATTAGGTAAACTATAGTCATGCATATGTGAAAATTTGTGTTTTTTATCCAACTCGGCCCGAAGTTCCCAACCCGAAATTACCCAACTCGACCCGATTGCCAGGTCTATGCAAAAGTGATGGTTGGCGGACAATGGGGGCATTCGAGTAATTTTGTGGCATGCATTAAACATACAAAGAGAGAAAAACAAACCAGAAATAGGAGTCAAAACCCGCTCCAGAAATCCAGGTTTTGGATCTGTGTGCGTGTGCTTTGAGGAAGCTGACAAACAAGAAATCATTATGAAGATGAAAGGCAGCAACGCAGCATTCCAGATTCCAGAATAGAAGCTGCTCACAGCTAAATAATGATTATTAAAATACCCCTACTCCCCCCTAAAAGCATTTTTTTTAAATCACATATATATAAAAAATTTTCTTCTTCTTCTTCTTCTTCTTCCCTCTCACTCGGTCTGCCTTTCAATTCAATTATATTTTTCTTCAAAAATATGTACCATAATAAAAATGCATAAAATAACAGATGAGAAATATTCAGTTATCACAATCTCACCCAAAAAAAAAAAAAAAGATATCACAACAATATAAAAATGTTATGTTTATAGTTTATGTACTAGAATATAAATTAGGGTATCCAAGCTCCGTTGCTAGTCTGCGCTCTTTGTACTAGATAATAATGATCGTATCGGTTTAGGTATAGCTATCATCACACTTCTTACTAAAGCATTTTTGGACAGGGAGTCTCTTCCTTCTCCTCTAATTTTTTGAAGTTTGAAGCCATGTGGCTCTATCATCACAATTTTCAAAATTTCATTGCTAGTACATGGGATCAACGAGCCCCTCTCCCCGTTGCCCTAGCTGATTTATCTAAGAAGCTAAAACCGTGGAAAAACACCATTTTGGAAATATCCACTCAGTAAAACGACGACTGCTTTCCAGGATAAGTGGAATCCAATCTCGCTTAACTACTCTTTCTTTGCCGGACTCACAAAACTGTTGGCTAAATTAGAAAAAGATTCGGATAAAATCCTAGAGTAAGAGGAGATGTTATGGTTTCAAAAAGCAAGAGAAAAATAGCACATGTTTGGCAGGATCGATCCACGATATTTCGAGACCCTGTTTAAAAATTTTAAATGTGACCCTAAAATTTAATATAAGACTTCAAAAAGCTTCTTCATGCTGTAGAAACAATCACAAAAATAGTTAATAAAATTCTATAAAATATGCTTGCATTAGAAAAACAATCGACAAGTTTTTAAAAGATTATTTTTTTAAAAAAAATCGTATAAATACGTTGAATAGTGAAAAAAATATGTAGCTTTACCACAAGAATTAGCCATATCACATAATGTAAAAATATTTATTATTGATTTAGTTATTTTTTTTCCTTTATACTGTAGGTGACTTGTGCATAATTATTTTGGTTAACGTTTAATAAATCAATGTGAATTATTTAATTAATTTAACATAATTGCCTTGGTAGTAAAAGTAGATTAATTGATGAAATTTGATTCTTTTCCCCTTTGGAAAGCTGAAAATGAAGAAAGTTAAAACAACAAATTTAATAATGATAATAATGACGCATCATCAATTACCTCTTTTGTTCTATTTAGGAAACACACGACACACAATAAGTTATGTTATATGGGTTGAAATTTTTTTACTAAGAAAACAAGTATTCGCCTCATGTGATTCGTTCGTTCCTTTAACCTTCGAACATAAAGTAATCCATGAAATGAAGCCATTACAGGCACCTGATCTAGATGGATATCGAGCAGTATTCTACCAATACAATTGACCGGTGGTGAGGAAGGCACTAACAAGCATGGCACTTAAATTCTTCGAGACGGGGGCATCTACATGAAATAGTCATTGACTCATTAGTGGTCCTCATCCCCAAAGTTGGCTATCCAGAATCAGTTACTCAATTGCATCCCATCTGCCTCAATATGTCAGCATGAAAGCAATCACTAAAGCCATCATGAACTGTCACTGAGTATGCACAAACTGAGCTCTCCTACCTGGAGCAGGTTCATCCCTGGCAGACAAACCATTGACAACATCATAATCACGCAGGAAGTCCTTTATTCCTTGAGAAAGAAGAAATGACGAAAAGGTGGATTAATCATCAAAATAGATTTGCAGATAGCATATAATAAATTGAAATGGGACTTCCTCCAAGACACTCTCAAGGAAGTCGGCCTCCCCAACTCGTGGATTGCCCAAATTATGTATTCTATGCAGAACAACATAATGCAGCTCAATTGGAATATCAAAATTTCTAGCCTATCCTCTCATCAGAGGAGTCCAACAGGGAGACCCTCTTCCCCTATCTTTTTTTCTTCTTCTTTGCATTGAAATGCTCTCCCATTGGATTAACCAAACAATTTCTGACAAACATTGGAAACCCCTAAAACTTTGTGTTGGAGGTAAAGGAATTTCCCACCTCTTTTTTCTGATGATATGATTTTATTTGCAGAGGCAAAGCTGAGGCAAATTCAGGTCATAAAAAATTGCTAAGAGGACTTTAGCTCCAGTTATGGACGACGTGACAACCTCACAAAATCTGCACTCTACATTTCTCCAAATGCGAGAAGAGACAAAGCAATCACTTTAAGCAGCAGGGTTGGCATCCCTTTGGCAATTAATATTGGAAGGTACCTCGGAGTCCAAGCCATTAACCGGGGAGTAAAAAAAGGTTGCTACAATGAGCTCGCACTAAGAATCCAAAAGAAGTTACTTCCATATAAATATCGATGATTATCCCTTACGGCCAGAATTACCGTGGTGAAATTTATATCTTCCACCATCCCTATTTATCCTATGCACGCAGAATTCCTACCTTCATCTACCTATTGTGCTATTGATTGTTGTAACAGAGACTTCATTGGGGAAGATTAAGAAGGTCATGAGAAGATGCATATTTTCTCATGGGATAAGCGGAAAGAATCGAAGTCTCAAGGAAGAGTTGGAATTCGACCGACTCACTACACCAATCTAGTAATGCTAGAAAAAACAGGATGGAGACTTATACGGGAGAAGGATTCACTTTGGGCAAGAGTACTTCATGCCAAATATTGAAAGCAAAAGGAGAACCTCGATATCCTGCAAAAGCATCACGGAAGTTCTTTTACTTGGCTTAGAATTAATAAAAGGAAACAAATTCTAGACTAATGTTTGGGTTTAGCAGGTACCTTTAGTCCAAGTGAAAACCTAAAACATTCAAGACGACATGTTGAACGAAAAAGTGGATGACTTTATTGACGGAGAGGGGAGATGGATCACTTCAAAATCCAAAGCTATCTTGCCCACGAAAGTTAGATACGAAATCACACCAATATTCATTGATACTCCATCACAAGAAGAAGATAAACTATTCTGGAGTGCAACCTCAAATGGAAACTTCTCAGCAAAATCAGCTTATACAACCGCACACCCATCCCAAGATTCCACAGGTTCCCACTCCCAACATCCATGGAAAATGATTCGGAAGTTACTTGTTCCTGAAAGGGTAAGACACTTTATTTGACTTGCATGCTTGGACAAGATTAATACAAATAAGAGGCTCCATCATAGACGAAACACCGCAACCCTGTTTTGTCCCTGCTTCAACAATATTGTGTAGAATCACCTTCATATATTCAGAGACTACAAGGCAAGCTAATATCTTCGGAACAAGACAGTCCAACAAGATACCAAGGAGTATATCAAAGCATGCCCCCGTTCATGGATTCACACCAGAGCAGATTGCAAAGTATTTCTTCAAAGGCCTTGATCTAAACACCACGATGATGGTAAACCAGTCGACCAATGGAGATTTCATAGCAATGACGCGAGTACAATGCTAGAAACATTTCGCCACACTAGCAAAGAATTCAAAGAACTAGTCCAAGCATCCATCTAGAATGAAACCATTGAAAGAGATGACCCAACAACTAATGAGGTCTTCAATGGAGCTAAAGAAAGGACTAGTGCCATCCTGTCCTTTCGACTATTATAGCCATAAAGGGCAAGGACATCTGATGTCAATTACATAAATCAAGGCTATCAATCAACACCTCAACAAGGTAGTTATGATCCCTATCAAAGATTCAACCAACCTCGAATACCCTATGGTCAATGGCCTCGCCGACTATCCATCTCTCTTCA